CGGACAAGATGATACAAAGATACATATTCATATTATTTGTAATAAATTCAATTTTCAGAACTTGATATTTAAGTAATATGGTGTTATAGTTTTTTATTAAACAGACAAATGAGAGAGAGAGAGAGAGAGAGAGAGAGAGAGTAATATTCAGTTTTAGCCGCCCCCCCCTCCTTTCAGGCTTCACCAAATGTTTGTACCTATATCAAACAAAAACTCTGAAATTTTTTTCTAAATATACCAGACAGTGAAAGTAACTTTTTTTTTTTTATCAACAAATCATATCCATTTGTTTGACAGTCATACTCGTTTTTATTGTCCTGCTTCAAGTTCACACGAAGTCCACGTGCTTGTCCTGTCAATCAAAATCATTCGACACTGTGCAGGTGTGAAAGTTTCGTCACATCGAAGACGAAGTGCGAGTATTTCCAACAAGTTATAACATTTATTTTTATCATTTCTAGATTTGATTCCAACATTTGAATAATAAATTAGTAAAATACATTGGGCATTAACACTTGAATGTGAAACATACTCTCTGCCAATTTCAAATACCACCGCCGACACGTGTACATTTTTGATCTACTATTGTTTTGTGACTTTTTTAGATGCATGTTTGTTTTGAGACTGAAATTTTTGTTCTAAAACAGACCGTAGCTTTTTTTTAAACGTTAATTAAAATATTCTGGAAATACGGTACTGACTAAGTCACCGATTTAGGGGGAAAGGGGGGGGGGGTATTAATCATATCGAATGGCAAACATATAAAGTTACGGTGAAGAAAGTTTTTTTTCTCTATAACTATAGACTTTACATATTACAGTAGAGAAATTCTGTAGTGCATTACATTTTAAATAAATATTTCCTTTAACCACACTATCAATTTAATTCGTTCTAAAGATAATAAATTGACAGGATATCCGCAGTACTATGTATAACTCTCAGAACTAGTTCTATTATATTTTCTGTAGTAATTGAAAAAAAAAAAGTATTAGAAATAAATATTTTCATAATTTTGCTGTGTAATTATTTGACTTGAATAATTATATCTCCATTAACGATTTGTCGTCTTTAACAAAACAACAAAATGTTGCAGTGCTTGAAGTATTTGCACATTGCCCTTAGTTAAATTTAATATTTCAGCATCGTTCTACATAGGTACAGAATGTGCTTGTAACAACATTTATTTTCCAGAGTAATTTAATAAATAACCTAACAGCTAAGTTACAATAATAAAAATATATACCGTAGATTTTTTTCCTCATGAAATAATGATTCTTCAAACACGATATGTTAGTTAATAAATATAAAAAAACCCTGTAACTCCTTAACTACAAAAAGATAAGTCCTTTCACTTCGGAGTTCCGAATGACAATGAAAACTGAACGATAGGTGAACGCTGAACGCAAGGTGAACGCAAAGTGAACGGAACGAAGAGCGAACGCTGAACGCTTTGTGAACGGTGAACGCGAGCGCACGGTGAACGGTGAACGCAAAACTGTGAACGGAGAGCGAACGGTGAACGCACGGTGAACGAACGGTGAACGCACGCTGAACGAACGGTGAACGAACGGTGAGCGAACGGAAAAATGGGAAAGTAGAACGTTTCAGGGACTGTATTGATAGTCCTGCAAGCTGAAGCAATGTCATAATGGAAACAAATAATTTTTTTAAATCTGTAAAATAGAAAAAAAACAAATTGGAAAAAACCTAAATTTTCCAAAGAATCTTTGGTTGCGCTATTCTACCTGTCGGTTCTTTGCTAACAAAAAATTAGATTTGAGAACTTAAGTAATATTCTTCAGGGAAGGAAGGATTTTGAGCTGAAAAAATACTTGTCATTCATTTTTTTTTATATTTTGTATATTTCTAATTAAGTATGTCCCACATATCTTAAAGCAGTTACATCATTAGGTTTCTTACCTTATTTTCGAGATATTGATTGACAAATACTATGCCCTATAGTATCTAAGTCTAGTTTTAATTCTCCATGTTTCCGGGCTCATTACTCTGTCCATAATGGGATCTTTTAAGCATATATAAAAATATGTAAGTAGATATGTATCTTTTAAAATATTTCAGAGTATGAATAGGGTTTAAAATTCGAAAAAGCAAGTTTCCTCTATCACACTGCATCTGGATAGGGAAAATTAAGTACTTTTTTTAGAGAACTTTAACAACAAAAAACGTAATTTACAACAAAATCGATCAGTCAACATTTTTAAATTTACGTTGATATGCAAGGCCTTTAAATTATTGATTAACTGTAAAAATGTCGAATAGTGAAGCTGATCTGAATACTGCACAGAACATCGTTAAAGGGGACATAAGCAGGACAAAAACGTGTCATGCTTACATTTCTCGAGTACGGGAAGAACCAACTATGACGTCACAAGTAATCTAAATAAGCGAAATAAGATACTTACATAAGATTTCTGTCATCAGCCATGCAAACATAATTTTTGAGTTCCCCGTTTCTCAAATATTTCATCATATACTGATTATGACATATTTTTGCATAATAATACAACCCCTGCATTCACCGAGTATGATCTTGCTGTACTAACAGATCGTTTGTGACGTTATCGACTTGTTGGACGTGCAGTTTAGGGAAACAGAGGAGTAGATCATTTTTTCATAATGTGCTAATGTTTACAAGAATGAAACACTTTTTAATATATATATATATATATATATATATATATATATATATATATATATATATATATATATATATATATATATATATATATATATATATATATATATATATATATATATATATATATATATAAAAGATGGTAATTAAAGTAAAAACAATTGTCAAAAATTTATACAAGAACTGATGCTTTACACGTTTTGTACTTATATAAACGGAGAAACAGAGTCATGTTACCATGTGTCCTTCATCCCCTTAATAATGGAAAACAGTCTTGCCTTGCTTTTCACCATATTTCAAGTTGAGGTCTACACTTTGTATTTTCTACAGATATTCCTAAACAGTTGCTTCCAAACTTTTAAGTAACAAAAAAAACCATATAGTGCCTAGACATTGAACATCTAAAACGAAATCCCATGAAGTTTGATTGTCCTTCACCTTCTTTCGACTAGAGTCCCGCTGGATACGTCATTATTGGTGATGTTAATATAGTTGAAAATGAAGACATAAAATCAATCATCGTAAAAGATCCTATTTAGAAGAAGCCCAAATTTTTTCTATTGGCGACGGAACATCATTTCTTTTATGAATTCTTTCAAAAATTTTACCTAACGATGGGTTAAATATGGTAAGGAAGACTTGAACACTTTGTCAGAATGGATCAAAAGTTTAAGAAATATATTTAAGAAACGTATTAGAATACATTAAAAGGCAAAATGCGAACCATCTATCCTTCACTTTTCACTAAATCGGAAGTGATAAAAAAGAGAGACTATATGAAAAATACATAATGATTCCAGCAGACAAAGCTGGTAATAATATCGTCTTTGTCTTTAAGGTTCTTTATTATTACTGTATTTTGGAAGACCTTGATTTTAATTCTACGTTTAGAAAGCCTACATGTACTCGCAGTTTCCTTCCAATGATGAAATTCTTCAAAATTGCATTTCTGTGTTTACTTATTTTAAAATTCCAGTCAACAAAGGTGAGTTCGATCTACCCTTCCTATATTTGATTCTCAAACTTCATAAGAATCCTTAGAAACAAAGATACATTGCCGAGTCCAGCAAATGCTCTACCAAGCCCCTATCTTTACTTTTGTATCAATATAATATCTGCTGTTAGGAAAAACTTCAGACGAACTGTGCTACAGCATTCTAAAAGTGGTGTAAATCAAATGTGGATCCTCAAAAACTCTAAAGAAATGTTAGAAGATTTAAAATCACCAAATTTTTAAAACATCTCTAACATCAAACCGTACGACTTCTCTACACTTTTTACAACCATTCCTCTAAAATTACACTAAAATTAGGCTTTTTGATATCATAGACAATTGGTTCTTCAATAAATATAAACTCGGAAATTTTAACATCTTGTGATTGGTCATCGTCATCAAGAACATTATTTCTTAAAAATCATTCTAAAATCATTCTAATTCTACACACAAGAACTCTGAGGATGATATAAAAAGATACTGAGTTCCTCACTTACAACATTTATGAAGACTTCAAAGACTAAGTCTTCCAAGAAACTGTTACAAAAAAAAACGGATGGGCACTATTTTTCTTCTAACTAAGCCAACCTGTTCTTATATTCATATGAAGCAGAATTTATTTTAAAAACTACATGACAATAACAAAACAGTTGCAGTGGCCTTCAACTCGACATTCATATATATCAACGACGTTTCATAAATTAACAATAGCTATTTCCATTCATATGTAGTCTCAATATATCTCAGTGAACTTGAAAGACACCACTGTTTGGAAATGTTTATGAAGAGATAAGATATTACTCCATGTTGTGTCGTTTGTATATTGAAACTGAGTAAGTCAATAACAAGTATTATGACCTCACAATTGTTGACGTTAACGACGTTACAACAAACGTAATTTGGCGCTTAATGTTATGAGTCCGCTGTGTGTAACTCATTACTACCACTGTGTCTGCCAGATCTGTTCATATTTGGATGTTTTACTGACTATTGACGACAAAGACAACTAACAACTAAATTGTATGACAAACGAGATGACTTTAGCTTTTCCACTGTCAAATTTCCTTATTGAAACTGATTGAAAAAGAATTAGATAGGTCAGTATGTACTGGTCCCAGTTGACAAATCAGGTAACAATATAGTCTTTGTTTGTAAGGCACTTTATTATAATTGTATTTTAGAGGAGCTGAGATTAAATTCTGCAAATATTATCTAATTTATACCCATAACTCCCTTTCTGAGGAGAAAATTTTTCAAAATCATATGTCGGTTTTAAATTTTATAAAAATTCAGAACAATTAGTGTATGTATTTATAATCTGAAGGATTTATTAAACCACAACAATTTAAGTTACATGTACTTAAGTGTACATTGTATTAAACTTTTGTTTAAGTCAATGACATTGTACAATTTCAGGTAATCCTTTAATGAAAGTGGGATAAGTAACTTGTTAACAGGAGGAAAAATGGAGGTATCTTTATTAAGTATCCGCAATTGCTTCCTAATTATTGAACGGCAACTTTGTTTTAAGCTTGGTGGTTCATCCATATTAATGCCATTTTCTGTCATTTCTGTCTTAGTATAACTACAGTCTAGATCATCGCTTGTGTAGTGATAACCGGCCGCAATAAATGTTTGCAGCATAATATGAAAACCTACACACTTCCTCCTAGAATCAAAAAGATTATGGTACGCAAATTGTTGTAATACGTCGCTGAGTTTATACTGATCAGGATCAATGCCGTGTTGAAGAAGAAGAACAGCCGTGTCACACGTAAAACACGGTCCCGGAATATGCAGTGTTGTAGGACTATTTGCCTCGTAGACTTTTCCTCTCCTGAAAACGACAATGAAATAAGTTTTTACAATTAGTAAGCCTTATCATACAGAAGTATCCTAGATTACACAGTATATACACTGTACTTTAGTCACCTTTAGATCTCAGATATTTGATACAAATGAACTCTTCAGGTTTGATTACAGTTGATTTACTTTTTTGCAGATCATCTTTTGTTTAACCACTGATAATAATATACTGAAAAAATAGCCCCAAAAATATAATATTTCTTTTTTAAAAAGTGGAGAATGGGGTATTGTTCCAAAAGTTTACTGAATATATTTTCATCTGAGGGAAAATGGGTCTCAACCCTGATGTCAGATCGTCATTAAGGTCTGACGTCACGTCGGTCGAATATCTGTTTTGTTTCTCGTCGTAATATACGACAAGCTAATCATAATTATCATTAACTTACGATTTCTTAACTGTTTTCAAATTGCCCAAATAAATAGAGACAACTTTTTTGACATTGCTAATGGCAGTTATTTCAAGTAGGGTTATATTGTAAACAAAATCCTCTAGTATCTTGCACAAATGCTTTGTAAGGTATCTAAATTTTTTGTTTGGAAGCTTGTTAAAGTAGCAATTCATCAATGACAAATTCTTGGGAAAAAATAATTTATAATTGAGGAACGTGTCGCCTGACCTTAAACTTAGAAAATTTGAATAAAAATATAAATATAAACTTTGCCTAGCCTAAACGATAATTTAACGCTAAATGACCCCATGATGAACTGTATTTTAGTGGACTCTCTATTCATCTGCTTTTTCTTACCCATAAAAGAAACAGTGTCCCCAGCGAGTTGTATTTAACTTCGCCCCAGCCATCAAATAAAGTTCAAGTATTCTTGTCATAGGCGATGATGGGCGATGAGAAGTTGCTGGCACATTTATTGAATATTTCGGTTGAACAATACTGTATAACTCTATCTCTGGCTTTTGTAGATTAATGAACTGCTTATAGCCTTTATATTTGTTCACATCCGCACCTAATAAAGAAACTTTATGTTCATTTGTAAACTTTTTTATCACAGATATAAGTAAGCACAGTTCTCTCAAGTATCGTGAAATAGATTGATACATTATTTATCAATTTTGTGTAGACATGATCAACTGCACTTATAATGACACCCCCAAAGAATTCATTCACAGGGTCACCCATATTCAAATAAACTTCTATTTTTATTCCCTCGTATCGATGATTCGGGGGTATATAGTTTTTGCCCTGTCCGTCCGTCTGTCTGTCTGTCTGCAAAAACTTTAACCTTGCCCATAACATTTGATAGGTTAGAGCTATGGCTTTCATATTTCACATGTGTATTCCTTGTGACAAGACCTTTCTATGATTACCACCATATTTGACCTTTTGACTTTAACCTTGAAGTTTGACCCAGTTTTGCAAAATTTAACCCAACTTTAACCTTTGCCATAACTTTTGAACAATTGGTGCTAGGGTTTTCATACTTCACATGTGTAATTCTTGTGACAAGACCTTCTTTTGGATATCAACAACTTCGACCCTTTGACCTTGACCTTGGAGTTTGACCTACTTTTGAAAAACTTTAACCTTGGCCATAACTTCTGAACAATTGGTGCTAGGGCTTTCATACTTTACATAGGTAATCCTTGTGAAAAGACCTTTCTTGACCTTGGAGTTTGCCTTCTTTTGGAAAACTTTAACCTTGGCCATAACTTTTGAACGGTTGGTGTTAGGGCTTTCATACTTCACGTATGTAGTCCTTGTGAGTAGACCTTTCTTTGGTAACCAACAACTTAAACCCTTTGACCTTGACCTTGGAGTTTGGCCTACTTTTGGAAAACTTTACCCTTTGTCATAAATTTTGAACGATTGGTGCTTCGGCTTTCATATTTCACCTGTGTATTTCTTGGGAGAAGGCCTTTCCTTGGGCTCCATTAATTTTGACCATTTGACCTTGACCTTGATGTTTGACATACTTTTGAAAAAACTTTATCCTTTTCCATATCTATTCAATGGTTGCTGCTAGGGCTTTCATATTTCACACATTTACTCCTCGAGACAAGACCTTACTTTGGGTACCAACATATTTGATTTGCATTTGAGAAAGTTTAACCTTTGCCATAAGTTGCCATACGGGGGCATCGGTGTTTCACAAACACATCTTGTATAAAATTGTTTTTTCAACACCAAATCGTTTGTAAAGCTTGTTTAAAAAGATCTCTGCAATGCAGTGTAAGGTAAGAGTGGAAATATCAACTTCCGGAGCACTTTAAACATAAAATGTTGAATAACTTTAATTTTATCTCAAACCTGTATCTAACAACAGCTGTACAATGTCTTCATCCCTTGCTGCTATAGCATAGTACAATGGTGGCACCGCCTCCATCTCCGGCATATGCTTATAACTCCTGACAGACAAATTAATGTCCGCCCCCGCATTGATTAGCTTCCTAGCTAGCTTTAAATCTCGAAACCTGTAGCGAACAGAACATCTATATCTTTTATTCGGAATACATCCGTACTTTTTTGGAATACAATGTACATCCGTATTTTTTTTTCGGAATACATTCGTATTTTATTCGGAATACATCCGTGTTAAATTTCTTTTCTTTAACTGTTAGATAAGCGGTGGTCCTTAAATACCAGAACAAGAGAAAGAATGAGGGACCCATTAATCAAACTATCTACTTAAGTAATACTAAATTCTATTCTGAAATGTCACTTAATCTTTGTTTTTAGGCACTCAATCTTTTTATTTCTTCATTAAACGAAGGTTCCAATGTGGTCTTATGATATTTATTTGTCTATCGCTCAAATTAAATACTTTTTTAAGATTTAGGAAACATTTCTTTTAGTTTTGTAGACAAAAGTAAGGGAGCACACATGCGTTAACAAAAAATCTTTGAAAAGTCTTTTTGTTTCCTTGACATTATTTTTAAAAGTATTTTTTATTATATATTTATATACAGGCTTCTCGACTTGACAATAATACTAGAATATTCATTCAACGACATTGTAATCACAAAAACTCCGAGGTTTCATGAATGTAAAGCATCATGAGGCTTAAATCCTTATAGAAGTTTAGAAGAAAATTATTTAGGAAACTAATTTTCCTTAATAAATGGAGAGACAAACTAAACAATCTTCACAGTAGACGAAAATAATGTTTTCGATGAAACTTACATGCAGGAAATAACAATAGGCGTATATTCTATGTATTCTTTCATTCCGGAGTCCTCTTTATATCCATACATACCACGTATTTTCACTTCAACTTGAAGCTTTATAGGTTCATTAACAGAATTAGATTTCACCGTAAAATGAAAAAAAAATGGAATGAGCTATTTTGATTCCCCCTTTCTTTTAGAGGAATAAATTAAATAGATGACTTTTTGCAGATTATAATGTTTCTGGTCACAATTCATTACTGAAAATATCGGACTTCAACCGTGACAAATACCACTTGGACATAGATTGAAGACCCTTACCCTTAAGTGCATATGCATTTCTAAAAGATATATACAATTTACTTTTATATCCCCAATAAAGACAATATTACAATATTTGAGGCATTTTAATATTCTTCGACATGCAATAAAAATTCAAAATCTGAAACTCGAAAATTCATGGGATTGCATCAAGACAGTTACAATGTTTCTTGAAACGATGAGTGGCCCCTAACCGCAGTTGAATGTATCACCAAAAGTGATAAAATCATATATAAAATGTAAAAATTCATCGTAATGCCTATAAAAATTGTGGAGCTAGTCTGAGATTTATAATTTACTTATAATTGACAATTTCTTATAACCTCGAATGGGGAATCTGTAGTGATCACTGTTAAATTAATAAATTTGTTCAATAGCTTTGATTTTTATTGAAAAAAAATTGACTAGATTTCGTAAGGCATTAGACACTCTCCAATTGGAGATAAAGGTGGGTATTTTCCGTTTGGAAATAAAAGCTCCTGGGTCTAAGTTGTTTTGTTGGAAAGTAAGCAAACGTTTAAGAATTAAAGGTAGTATAAAAGTCTGAAATATATTCAATGTGTAGAAAAATATTTATTAATAATAGCCATACGGATTGTGTGCACAAGATTAACAGGCCAGGTGCAAAATCTTGCTCAAAAGAGCGCACTATAAATAAAAATGTGAAGGAAATTTGAAAATATACCTGAGTCCCATGCATAACGGACGAGGTCCTCCTTTCTTTTGCATGAGATTCGAACCTGCGACATAAGAATCAACTTCTTTCTCCGCGATAAATTATAATTACTTTGAAATTTCATAATGTCAATTTAATTATTTTCTGAATAGTTTTTAAATTACAATTACTTTTTTTTTATAAGTAATCATGATTACAGTTTGATTACTTTTGAAATCTATCAGGAAAGGATTTGCTATATATGTGATTTGTGACAATTTATAGGAACGTTTACTTTGACCATATTTTGATTTCGATAAAATTTCACTAATGGAAATGGGCAAAAGTTGGAAAAAATATTAACTCTTGTTATAGCAAAACATTTTTTTTTTACTTATTTGGGTCATAGTTTAAAATGAAATCAAACAAAGGATCAGGATCATAATCATCTGTGGATCAATTATTCCAATGAGTTTCATATTTAGTCAGATCAACTATACATTGTATAGACTGAAAAAATGAGTAAAACATTTGAATTACATTTTAGTATCCTAACTTGCTAAAATGTTTTATGTGTTAAGAAACTGGACGTGGTTTAATTTGGAAATCAGTGAAATTAATAATTTTCATTTTTGCTTTTTCACTGACCCTTCACCTCCAATTTAGATATCCAAAAAATGAAGAAGTGACTCAGACATAATTAAACTTGCCAACAACAAAAATCTTCTTCTTTTTTTTTCTGTTTCAGTAACAATTAATGCCATTGTGAAAACAGCTGTCTCTATTCTATATTAGGCAGGTAAATGACTTTAATTCATCTTATATAGATGTTCAGTAAGTGTAAGATTAATTAAATGTCATTATCATTAAATCATCAATAGTTGATTTCTTACAAAAACAGAAAGATAATAACTGGAAACAATTTATCAGTACAAATGGTAATCTATTTAGAACAAAACTGCATAATTAGGGTAGTAATATCCCTTTTTAATACTTTAACATTTTTTAAATGGGAGTGTACCGTATAACGGGTTTCCTTACTGGGTGTAAAATTTGGCGGTTCGTTGCCCAAAGGTATGCCAAAAAATAATTTTGGCGGACACAGAATTCCATGACGTTGCAAAACAGAGAAAATTCACATTTTAGATGGATTTCAGTGTGTTCAATATACGTTTAAATACCTATTTAAGCAAGAGTTTGAGTAAAAACCAATACAAGATGAAATATATAACGTTTAACAACAGCCTGAGTAAAGTTATTTTCCTTTTATTCAGTACTTATAAGCAAAGGTGCAAATTAAGCGATTAAAATTTTAGCGGGCTACAGTACTACAAATCCGCTAAAATAAGCCAAAGTTAGCACCCCGCTAAAAAACGCTATACGGTATATGAGGGATGTTGGTTTTTGTTTTGTCCATTACACATACCTAAATCAAATTTAAAAAAAAAACTTGACAATATTCAGAATGTTCTTTTAAAAAGGAATCAGAAAATAATCATGATTACAGTCAAAACCTGAGCTGTAATGGATTATGTTAAATAACAAGTAATCAGGATTCAAGAATACTGATTATATCTAATTAGGCCAACTTGAAAAAAGAAATCAATTACAACTGATTGCAATTACAATTAACGATATCATAACCACACGTCTGATGGAAATAAAAAAAAATGTCATTGGGATTAATAAACAAGTTATGAATATGAATTTCAAAGAAGTACAACTGCTGAAATGTAGCCCTACAGTTTAAAAACCTGATCTGAATATAGGCCATTTATTTTAAAAGTGTACATATCGAAATTGCATGTATTGTAAATAAATTTTAAAAAATAAAGAATACACGTACTACGTTCCAGTTAGTTAGTCGAGAAAAAACATTAGTAGGACATACGGAATAAAAGCATATACATTCAATCGTTAATTATTTTCTCAGTAGCAAAATTATCAAATATAAATGTAATCTACCGCATTTCATTGCAGACAAGAAGACCTGTGCTACACTGAAATTGAGTTTTTTGTTACAGAGAATTTACCATTTGTTTTTATTAATGTCTTCTATATAAAAAAAACGAAAAGGCATTTAAGACAAAAACTAAAACAAAAATATACAAAAGCCCCCTATTAAAATACAATATGTGAAAAAAAAGAGTTTGATTTAAACAATAAAAGTGTGGCGCAAAGTAAACTCGAACCCTGACTCTAAAAAATACCAACGGAAATGAGAGCCAGGGTATACTCACATTTCGAAAATTCAAAAATATATATACTGTTGAAGGTAACTTAAGTACTTTGAACCGTGATTTTTTATGGAAAAATTTTCCCTTCTATAATCAATTCTTTTATTACCTTACATTGTTCTTTCATAAATCAGGTCTTAGGAAAATATCAAATAAATGACAATGTTGATTATTTTGAAAACATTTATTGGCCTAGCAAGCTGAGTGTTGAAATCAATCATACGTGTTTTCCGAGATGGCCTCGGAAGGATTTCTTGTGGGCAATCAATATAAAGTGCTGTCATTTTTTTTAATCAAATTTATTAAAAACACCTCATCTGATATCTCGACATAATAGGATTTTTAGAATTGAAATATTTCAAGGATATGAAAAAAATAAAGCATGGAAAAAAACCCTGATCGGATTACGATATCTCAATCCAAATATCTCCTCGACGTGAAAATATTTTATATTTGAATTTGCTTCCAGTGTTAATTAAGTTGCTTATGTCCCGAACTATGTACCATTATGGTATCATTATAAATTAAATTACAAAAATGAAAGTAAAAATGAAGAAAAAAAATACCATAAATGATTAGATAAATAAAAAAAGGTAATGCAATCATTTACTCACATTTTACTTACCTTTTGTTTGTTATGTCAGTCCTAATATGGCTATTTATTACAAAAATTACAAAAATAGACATACAAAAATAGACATGACAGTGGATAAATGACGTATGCCTGAATTAACAGTACGATTTTTTACAAACATTATAAATCAAATTTTACGCGTAGTTCTGTTTTTACAAAATGTTATACATTGCAATGAAACAGTTATTTGAGGAAAATAAATATCTATCTGATAAAATTCAGTCCGACCTTTTCTTCTTCTTCTTCTTCAGACTTTCTTACGAGTATAAACAATTTTGTATGGTAGCACAAATCAGTAATAAAACAATAAAAGTTTATTTGCAGTCGTGGGAAATCGAACGTACTTACGATAGAATAAAGGATACAGAAAGATCCCAAGAGAGAAGAGGAAAATATCGGTAATGTCTTGTTGACTTCATCTCGTATATTGGATACTGTATTGTGTACTTTAAAAAGGGACTTCATATTTTAGCGCTGACAACGATATTCGTCCATTCATACTCCTGTGTCTCTCTATCCGATCCTCCATTTTAATGCTTTCAAACTCCAGTCCATTCCATGTGTTGCCCATATTCACAATGATGTACATGTAGTTAAACGAAATGACAAGAGTGCTTCATGAAACCATGAGTACAACTTAATGAAGATCAAAGTAATATGATTCCCTCTTTTCAAATTTTGAATTTGTGATTGAATATTTTTATAACTTCACTTTTTGATGAATATTCCAGAGAAAATAATGTTGTGAGTTAAAAGTTAAGACTGACTCAAAATGGATTTAAAAAACTTTCAAGAATGTGTGAAAGAGATGACAGAAAAAAGAATTATTAACTTTTTAAAGGATTTAAAAACTTGATTAAATGGCCTGATGGGCCGAAAACATATTTCTTTTAGAATCAAAATGTTATATAGGATATGACAAATACGTATACATGTACCTCACTGAGGTATGAAAAGATTAACCTGATTTAGAGATGATACCCTAATGCGTATATATCCCCGATCTGATCATATCTGAATTTTGAACTTTTGCGAAGTTTCCAACTTTCCATATGTTAAATTTTCATGCCCCAAACACTTCAGGGCAAATATCAACATTTGTTGATTACATGTACTAAATAATTTAAGTATAAAAAAAAAAAAATAAATAAATGAATAACTTTATTAATGCTGCTATTAAATAATAAATAATGTGATCATTTACAATTTAGTGACTAACATGTTACACTACATTTAGTTATATCTTCTGTTTGTTATGTTGGACTTACTATGATCCACAATGAAAAGTATATTT